AATAAATGCACCAGGTTCTGAAGCATTTTTTACTTTAGCTGTACCTCGAATACTCGTATAATCACCAAGCCAATTAACTGCTTGATTCCATACACCTACTGTTCCATCAGGATTTGGTGTATATGTTGCATTGACACATTTGGATCCAATTTCAAAAACAATGTCACTTCGATAAGCTTCATACCATAAACCAACATACTAAATGGCAATGAATTGTATCAATTGAATTTATTAATAAATAAATTTTAAAAAAAACTTACTTTAGTGACATCAAAATTTTTTTGTGTGACAATTTTTGGACATTCTTTTGCTAATGATAAACTAGCAAATGAAAAAAGAGCGAAAACGATAGTTGAAAATAGCATGATGAATGATATTATTGTTATGTTGAATGTCTCCTGTATTTATAGGGATTTTTATTCAAGGTTAATATTATATAAGCGTTTAAGGTGAATGAGGACTTTATGAAACATTATATAACCACTGATATATATGACATAGCGAAATAACAAAAGAAAGAGACAAGTTATCAAAGTCAATATCAGCAGATGGCTAAATTCAAATGAAAACTATTAGTAAACCTTGTCAAAAACACTTTGAATCGTTTTAGGGTATTTTTTCAATATTAATAGTGATGATATAACCAGATCTGTTTCAGCACTGCTGAAAAAAAACAAGTACCTATGCGATCATCATTTTATTTTTTTAATAATAACATCGCAAATATACCTCAAAAGAAGTTTTTAGTTTTATCGTAAATATATTCATCAACTGATATTTATCTTAGTTCGTTCTTTTACTCGTTACCACCGATGTCAACTCTTTTCTCTTGTCTACTTCGTCAACAACTATCAGAAAAAAAATTTAACAAAATTATTCAATCATGATCTTATTTAAGATATATCCTACCATCGACATAAATATTTTGTTTTATTTTACTTCTGCATTTACTAACAAATCATAACTAAATAAACATTGTTTCTGAATTGAATACGATGAAATCTTCTTTTTAAACTCCGACAGTTGGTCTTGTTACGATTGATTATAGTTCTTTCAATATTGATATTCATCCATATAACGTCTTGTTTTTTACAATTTGCTAGAAGTTTTTTTTCCCTTTCGTTTATGTAAAAAAAAACAGAACTAAAGAAAAAGCTTTAAAAAAATAATATACGTTTAGTTTATAGGCGATATAGAATTCTATCATAATAATAATTATATCCCCATGTTTGTAACGGTGCTCCATGTCCATCATAAAATACATCAGCTAAAATTCTAATCCAATCAGTTAACCACCATATAAATGATGTAACACTAAGAATAACACTAACAGCTTCAGCTGTCATACGAAGACGAGACCTTTTTTCCGATATGCCAACAATAGTTATAGGCCATCCAATAATACATCCAAGTGAAATAATTAATTTAAAAATACCAGCAATAATATATCTAGCTTCACCTCTTGATAAAAAAAACCAATCAGTACCAAATATACCAGTAAAAAATGAAACAAGAAAAGCTGTTAATTTAGTTCGTTGTTCATAATTACAAACTTCCATAAATCTCCATGTTATATATCCACGATAACATTGACATATGTAACCTTTACAAAAACCACGACCACATTCGATATCTTCTGTACACCAACGTCCCCATCGACGTGAATATAAAACTCGATCGAAATGAACTTCATTTCTTTCAGGTACAAAACGACAATATCCCAAAACAATTAATAAAACGAAAATAACGTTAATAATATGAATTATTTTATGCATATTACTCTTAGTAAAATTATAGCAAGAAATGGAACAAATTTGATTCATATTTATTATTTTTGCGAACGAAAGTTTTTCTTTCTTCTGTTTGATGTATAACACTTTTTTTTTCTTTCTTTTCAATATATTCTCTTATATGGACTGCTATTTACCTACAAAAATCAATTCTTAATATTATACAACATTATATACAAAGAAAAAACTATATATATGTATTATAGATATTCTAAAAATAAGCAATATTTGAAGTAGATAATCGTTCGATAGGCAAAGAATAGTAATAGAATTTCATGCATATTCTCTTCTTTTTCTATGATCATTTCAACAAGAGATTGATGCATCTCGTATGTTTGTTTAAATGTCAAGTGTTCATGTAAATGGTATCGTTGACGAATGATGCATGTATATTTATAGTAGTGAAGACCTTCGACAAGATTTACTTGATATGTGAAATGAAATATGATCATTAAATGAGACAGTAAAATAGAATTCATTTATGATGAAGATATTCATTATAAAATAAGGAATAATTATGAAATAATAAATATGCAAAAGCTTATTGATATATTTTTAGTGTTATTTTAAACGCACGTTTCTTGATTTGTAACACTATTGACAGCTTCAAAGAACAATAAATTCATAAAATATATGACTAAATATATTCCTTTTAATTTGATATTTTATTTAGAACAGTTTGAAGAGAAGTACTTATATTTGAATTCAAAATAATGATTTGACTTTTACTATCAATGCTTTCTATTTGTTAATGAGACAAATAATAATGAATTATAGTATATAGTTCACATTTGCAATAAAAATCTTATCGTTGATTAGAGATTGATGAAAAAGATAAATATTTCATTTTTAAGAAACAGCAAAATGAATTTAGAAGATACCAAAATTATTATATATCTACTATTTAATTTCGTTTACCATAAAACATTGAGTCAAATCATCTAAATCTTTTTCGTTTGTAGTTTGTTTTGTATGAGATTTCGATGTAACGATTGCCTTCTGTTTGAAAGGAAAGTATAATTTTTAATGTTGATTTTTAATTAATTTTTTTTTCATATAGTGTACGTTATATTATATTAAATCATCAAGGCTGAAAAATATTTCTTTCGCTTTATGTTTCTATTTGACTATCAAACACATTTCAAAATTCTAGTTTTTTTGCTTTTTTATGGTTACTATCCAAATAAAATCTTTCAATCGATGTTGTTCTTTGATTTATATTTGGATAGAATAATTGTATTGGATACTTGAATTCTAACCTAAATGGATACATGATTCTTCGTTTTTATCAAACCTTGTCTTATTTATCTAATGTTTAGAGTTGTAAATATTTTTAGTTTTTATTGGTTGTAGATTAATTGACTAAAAAACTAGTGTCAAATAAAATTATCTTCTTTCATGTCATGTTTATAATCTAAAAAATGATTTCTATTTTCGTAATCACTTTTGACAGTTTTTTTTTATGTCTAATTTTTTTTCTTTTGATAACACGTCAAATATGAAATGAGTCATTGGAATTCAAATTATAAATCAAATCTATTAAATTAAACTATATTTAAATTATACGGAAAAGAAATCATAACTATTATTCTTGCTAGAATTTATTTCAAGATAAAGTATTAGAAATAAAAATAACTAATTTTATTGTGCCTTGTTCTATGCAGAATAAACTCTTGTGATTCTTGATGAAATACGCATCATTTTCTTTTTACTCTCTTTGTGCTATAGGAAGTTGAATTCTATGATTAATCATCATCTTTTCACAAACTAAGCAAATGTTTTGATATTTATATCAGTTTAGTGTTCGAGAAGTATCGAAAAATGAATTATGATTCATTTGTAAAAAGTTGAGTAAAGAATTCTTTTCATAGTACTATAAGTTTAATGAAACCAGCGACTGTTTCCTTACTGTATATAAACAGTTCGTCTGAATTCTTCAACTTCGTGTAAATTTGATTTTTAGTCTTTGCAACAGATGCTATACAGAATCAAAATTGTGATTTAAATAAAGAAAATTATTTCCAACAAAGTTGTATGATAATTGAATTTCTCATTATATTCCCAAAATCCAATACTAAGAGTTTGTTTTGACAACGAACGACGATAAAACAGAGCTTTCTCATCCAAAAGAAAAGCTCAGTCAAAAAATGTCGTGGAGAGATTCAGAACGTCTCATTTTGATGAAAACATTCTGGTCTATAATTCTTTGCTGTCAAAACTTCAAATCACGATTTAGATTCTTTATAGAACTTATTACAAGACGAAAAAAAATTTGAATTTACATTAGTTGAAGAATTCTGACGATCACTGCGTATATCTATCGATTACAAATTAGATTTGCTAGTAGTCGATTATAGAATGAAAACGTTACGTTTACATCACTTCTGTAAGTTTTGTAGATTCTAATAAATTGGAGAAGTAAGCATAATTTATATATTGGAATTGTTTTTTATTTATGACATTCATGTAAGTAAATCCTGTCAATTTAGTATATCTACTTCTATTTTATCGAAATGACTAATTTTCAGGTAAATAAGTAAAGATTAACTCAATCTTTTTTTCTTTTGTACTTTTTACTCAGTTAATGTTCATTGTAGCCCTTCATAGGAAAATTTTGTTCTCAAAGTGTACTTCCATTTCATGACATATCAAAGAAGATGATCTTAAATGAGTATCAAAGATTTATGCGTATTAGAAAAATATTTTGATGTTCATGCTCATTATTTGAAGATAAATTGAGGACTTTTTTTGATAAACTCATAGTATGACAAATGAAGAGTTAAAATAGTTCAAGTTGCATAATCCATTTTAAAGATCATTCACTTTTCTATTCAAGCTATCGATTGGATGTTATACTGAGCCAGATGTGCAGCGTCATGGGACTTCAGATTTTGATTTGTTAAAATCATGTTTTATACTATAATACTATCATTCATAGTAACACATATGTAATTGAAATTTTTGAATTTTCAATAGTTTTGTGTTGATGGATATATTATTATGACTTTCAAGTTTGTACTGTTTGGAACAAAGAATGTTAATGTGAAACACATGCTATCTTAAATCATACATTTTATAGATTGATAATACGTGTTAATTAAAGCAATTTCGAATGATGAGGATATAAGATGCACTATGTCAGATGCTATATCCTTTTGAAGATGTCAAAAATGCGTAGTTCAACGTTCTTATTGACATCATTCTAGAACAGCTGTACTGTAAACTCATGAGATGAGTATAGTGTGATTTCTGAAAAAAAACATTTTTTCTATGTAGCTAGCATTATAATATATATTTCGAATTCTATAAAATATCTCTTTTTCAAAACTGTTACTTATCTTTCATTTTCAACTTATTACATCGTTCATGTTTATGTATTGTCTGTTGTCAATTATTGTTGTATGTATAGACTTTATATCATTTCAGTTACACTAATTCTATTCTATTAATTGATCACTTATTGTTCTTAGACAAAAGATTATAGCGTCCAATAAATAACAATACCATTGTAGATATTCTGTATAAGTTTGTAAGATATTATTTTGAATGAGTATTTTAGATTTCTTTGATTTGTTGTAAAATTTTTTTACTGCATTTATTGTTGAGTGCGAATATATGTAATTAAATGAAAGTTGTAAATGTCAGGAGTGTAAACATAAAGCTGTAAGTCAATTGAAAAAAATTATGATCATCTCATTACTTCTTCTTTTTTACGGAACGCAAATATATTTTCGAAGAGAATATTTAATATGAGTTTTCAATCGAAGTTTTGCAGCTTCCAATTCTTCCTTTTCCAACTACAGACTTTAGCGTCTAAATTGGTCATGGATTATGTTTCCATATCAGTCCAAGACAACAGACCTTTGACTTGTTTTCTAGAGTTATTGACTAATCGAAAAAGGTGCCGTACGACTTTCACGACAAGACTGTGATTGTTTTAGAATATTTCAAAGTCTTCCTCGAAATTTATATGATTGAAATATGTTTAAGAATATTCTAAATCTTGCAATCTTTAATTTTTGCGCAAATAAAAATTTATATTCAAAATGTTAGCGATCACGAATAGTGATGCATTGATCTACGACAGTCACCATAGGATCAACATAAAACCTGTGAACTAACAAGTTATAACTTTGAAAATTGATGAATATCATTGTGTCTGAATTTATTCAGATGTATAGTAGTGCGTTGAGACTTACTGTACATATACTGGATATATATAAAAAGGCTTATGTGCTAGTTAAATCAATGATTAGAATAATAATAATGTTCAAAATGTAGAAAAAAATAGGACAGATTATTTCTCTGGCAATCGATTATTTTGGAAAAAAATAAATAAAGCCTGCGAGAGATCGTTCACTTTATGTATCTTATATTAGTAAAATGAGGCTAAAGAACATATATAAGTTCTACATTTCAGCATGAAATATACTTCACTAACTAGTATTTTTTTCCAATGTGAATATTTATATTTTGCGTAATTTCATAATCTCCTATACCATGATCTATCACTTTTAATGTGCATTCTGTCATGGTTTTTAATGAAATATTTGTGCAATATGTAAGAACGTTTAGGACATTTTTTAATATGTGTATAATAGTCATTTATCGTGCATGGGAAAGATAGTTGATATTCAGTTTCTAAACATTAAATTATCATTTCATTTTTCATCCGTTTTTCCTTTCAAAATGAAGAGAGTTGAATGACAAACGTTGCTTCCTCGAAAGCATGACTTTTTCTGAGCTACTTTTTTCAAGCGTTAAATGTGGTTTTTTTAAGTTTAAAATAATAATCTGATTCGAATTTATCATTTAACTTTTTCAAGATTTTCTTTTTCATTATTTTGAATTTGATATGCTGGAAATATAAATGTCTACTGATGATTATTTAATCGCTTCTGTTCTCTTCCTGAGAACACAAATTAATCGTCATGGAGGTTTATTAATGATGATAATTGGTACTACTGGTAATTTACTCAATATCTGTGTCCTTGGTGAACGAACTATTCGTGACAATCCATGTTCAATTTATCTTTGGTGGTCTTCTCTTTTTAGTATTGTTTTCATATGGTCAGGACTAATAACACGAATACTTGAAGGGTATGTACATAATTACGAAGTAGGAAGTTCAAAAAACGTCACAGATTGCTTACTAATTGAATTAATTCTGTCTTCGAATCTCAAATAATTTGCTGATGCACCTAAATGAAAATAAACTTACAATATGATAATTTGTTATAAAAATTGTTGATTTTTTTTCTTCAGCTATGACATTAATTGGCCAAACCAGACTCAACCTGTGTGTAAAGCTCGTCTTTTCATACTAACGGTATGTTGGTCAGTAGCAACATGGGCTTTGGTTGGCGCTAGTATTGATCGATTCCTCGGTAGCAGTGAATCAGTCACTTATCGATCGTTGAGTACTATTCGAATGGCAAGACGTTTTTTAATTATTATAATACTCATTTCTATTCTTATATTTGGTGAAATTTTCTATTGCTACGAAGCAAATGTTCCAAATGTTCCTGTACCTTGTTATATCAACAGTTTAACATGTCAATTATACAATAATTGGATGAATATTTTATATAATATTGTAATACCAAGTAGTCTCATGGCTGTTTTTGGCATTTTGACAATAGTCAATGTTCGAAAACGAATTGTTCATCCAGCCCGATCAACAACTATAGCTGTTGGGATTCATCAAACAAATCGTCAACCACGATTGAGAAAAATTGATCGACATCTTCGAAAAATATTATTAGTTCAGGTCTGTTTTAAATCGTTCTCTTTTTGAAGATAAATGCTGCCAGTTAGAAATAAAACACTATGTTAAATTAGCATTGAAAAGATTTTTTTCAAATGAAGCGTTCTAATAGAATCTGCTTGTGTTTCTTGATATTAGAGATCAATGTCCAGAAAACCAAATGATTTTCATCAGACGAGAAAGAATTTCTATCTGTACATCTACACAATCAATTAATGTCCGTATAAAAAATAAAGACGGATGGATGTAATCGTAATAACTCGACAAAAGCAACCACTAGCGATCTATGATTTTCAGTAATTGAAAGAGGAAAACTTCGGACTTCTTTTTTTTTGTGTAATACAGTAAATGACAACATTGTATTAAAACACATCATCTTTGCAAAACATTAAAGAAAATATATGAAAAGGACGTTTTGTTTCAAGGAAATTTCGTCAAAAAAAAGAGTCAGAAAATTAGCTACAAATCAATAGAATTTGATCTAATTTGGCTGAAACGATACGCACTTTTTTCTGCTCAGCATTGAAATATGAGAAGTTAATCATTTGAATCATGCTTTGAATTATACATCTGAAGCACATGTCAACATCAAAATTATATTGAAACGAAACACCCCTTCCATCCGTCTTTTATGAATGTTTTGCAAAGATGATGAGTTTTAGAAAAATCTGGTCTTATATGGTATTAGACTAAAAGGCATCGGAATTTTTCATTTATGGATTGCTGAAAACCATAGGTCTCTCATTGTTGCCATTGTCAAGCTATTAGGCATACATCCATCTCTCTTTAATTCTTGTGTGGACATGAGTATTAATATGATTATTTAGGTATTGATTCTTCTGCTACTGAATTTACCTATTGGAGTCCAGCGTTTATATGCCAGCTTAACATCAGATCTTGAAAAAGTTGCTCTTCGTGTGGCCATCGAAAATTTAGTCTACTCAATAATGGTTCTGATTCGCTTTGTTCCTTATTCAATTTCATTCTATTTATATATTCTATCCGGTTCAACATTTCGTGCAGCATTTCTAAACATATTTTATCGTAAATTACGCCAAACTCAATCGTCAATTCAATAATCAAAGAATGAATCATTTTAAAGAGAAACTTAAACAATAATAATAATAACAATGTAAAGAAAATGGTGGAGTTTAATGTAACGTTCCAAAAATAAGAATTTTTGATCTTTTGATTACAATTATCATCAGCTATATAAGATATTACTTGTGATCGTAACTTTCTATTTATTTATTTATTAATTTTTTTGCAAGATAAACAATAACTTCTAGAAATATAAAGGAGCAAAATACAAGATAAACACTCACACCCACAAATGATGTCTTATAAAGCTGATGATGCCTGTACTAACACGGTCAAAAGACCCTTGTATTAGAACATTCCATTAAACTATGCAATTTTCTTTAAATTTTTGTTACCTAAGTTTCTCTTTCAAATTATTCGTTTGTTATTATACGGATTTATATACTTGAATGTATTATATTCATATTAAGACATTCATATATACGGTACCCAAGTTTATGTCTATCAATATGTTTATTATATAGGTTTACGATTATGGATTATTTTATGTTGTATTTTGTTCTTTTTTTTCATTTTTAGCAATGATTGTTTGTCTTTCAAAAATATAAATAAATGAATAGAAAGTTAAGGTCACAAATGACGTCCTACATTGCTGATGATGACCATACTAAGACGAGAATACATCCTATTCCGCAATGTTGCACATTGCGGGAACCAGTTCCGCCCCCGGAATCAGTTCCCTCAATTCCGGAATTCCTATAATGACCCTTTCATCCAATTCCGGAATCCCAACAACCTAATTCCCACTAATTCCGGAATTCCTAGAACCCAATTCCTATCGATTCCGGAATTCCCTGACGGAATCACACCATCTCTCCTCACCCTCACTTGTTGTCTTGTGTTGCAAAGTTATCGCCTTCCAAACACGACTTAATTCCGCTACGGAATTCCGGAATTGCTTCGCACACGGAATCGGTAGGAATTCGCCGGAATTCCGCGGAATTCCTACCAATTCCGGAATTCCATGAAATACGGAATCGGTGGGAATTGGACGGAATTTCGAGGAATTCCTACCAATTCCGGAATCGGTGGGAATCAGACGGAATTCCCGGGAATTCCTAGGAATTCCTACCGATTCCGTCTTGGACACAATTCCGGAATTCCGTGATGGAATCACACCATCTCCCCTCACCCTCACTTGTTGTCTTGTGTTGCAAGGTTATACCCTTCCAGAGACGACCGAATTCCGTTACGGAATTCCGGAATTGCATCGCACACGGAATCGATAGGAATTCCCCGGAATTCCATGGAATTCCTACCAATTCCGGAATTCCATGAAATACGGAATCGGTGGGAATTGGACGGAATTCCTACCAATTCCGGAATCGGTGGGAATTAGATGGAATTCCCGGGAATTCCTAGGAATTCCTACCGATTCCGTCTCGGACACAATTCCGGAATTAGTTGGAGGAGTTCCGGAATTAGTTGGATGAATTCCGGAATTAGTTAAAGGAATTTCGGAATTAGTTGGAGGAGTTCCGGAATTAGTTGGATGAATTCCGGAATTAGTTGGATGAATTCCGGAATTAGTTAAAGGAATTCCGGAATTAGTTGGAGAAATTCCGGAATTAGTTAAAGGCATTCCGGAATTAGTTGGAGCAATTCTGGAATTAGGTTGGAGGGATTCCGGAATTGGTGGAACTGATTCCAGGGGCGGAACTGGTTCCGAAATGTGCAACATTGCGGAATAGGATGACTGCTCACTAAGACGATCAATAAGTTCTGTTGTAAGAACAATACATTAAACTGCACAATTTTCATTCCATTGTTATTATAATAATCGAAGAAGTGATCTAAATGTTGAACTAGTCATCTTTCTCGTGCTTAAATGTAGTTTTTATTAAAGTAACCATTTTTTTTTTGTAATTTGTTGAGCATTGTATGAATGATAAATATCTTATAATTCTTCTGTCAATAGATGATATAATCAATCTTTTCATGAACTTGTCCAGGCTCGAATGGTGAAATATTATATAAACTACGAAAAGAATTTATTGGACTCATTAAATTTTCAAAAACTCCTTTAGACTTTTACACTTGTTTTATAAATCTTTGTACAATCGTAAAGATAGTAAACTCTTGAAGAGTTTTATAAAATTTGATGAGAGGTTTACAAGGCTAATAAATTGTTTTCGTATCATTTATTATGATGCGTATTTTTTCACAGTGTAGCTCACATTGGTGAAATCTATTATTTCGGCTTTAAATATTTTTGACAAAAGGAGCATTTTAGACAGCATCTTCATACAGGCATTTATCAGTTCAACATGACAATATTCATGTGATTATTATTTCCATTTTTGCATGCATAATTTATTTACATCATATCTCAACCGATGTTTCAAACAGAAGATTTTTTTTTCTCCTCCATAAGTTATTTGAGGTGTGTCATACTGTTACTTGTTCTTTGTTGTCCAACTGACAGAAGGAGAAAAAAAAAAGAAAACGTATTCCAAGGAAATGACTCATTGTATATAAAACAAAGTTTCGTCGTCAATTAAAACGTGTAAACATATAGTTAAAAAAAAAGAAGTTTTTTTCTTCATTTTTTTTAACATCCAATGGAAGAAACATCAAACGAAAAACAACTAGCAAGTCAATTTTATTTTGCTTGTCGTAATAATGATTTTGATTTAGCTATTCATCTATTAAATCAACATCAATTAGAAGATATTGATCGAATGGAACCAAATGGAAGTACTGCCTTACATGCTGCTTGTTATTATAAACGCATTGATATTGTTAAAATCTTACTTGATCGAGGTTTTACTCGACGTGTTGTAAATAAATTCGATAAAACGCCTATTGATGAAGCTAATACAGAAGAACTTCGACAATTGTTTTTAAGACCTAAAACATCAAATCGATTTGGAGGTAGTATATCATATGAACGAGAGAAATTAATATGGATTCCAGTAGATGGAAATGAAAATGTTATTATTCAAGATCCTATAACAGATTTATATAAAGGAAACCGTTTAAATTATGGAATATTTCAAGCTGATAATATTATTAAACAATTGAATGGTATGCCTAAACTTGATGTTATTCAACGTTTTTTTCGTCGAGCTGTTCAAGAAAAAGATTTGACTCGTTTAATTCAAGCTTATACTGCTGAAACAGATTTTTATAATCATGTAAATAATTATCTTTTATCAAGACAACCAGAAAATAGTCTATCTCAATTTGTACAAATAATATATTTTAATGATCAATTACATAGAAAATTTTCTTATGAAGGAACATGTTATCGAAGTATCATTATTGACTCAGAAGATCAACTTAGTTTATTTAAAAAAGGTGCTAAAGTATTTAATCGAACATTTATCTCAGCAACTCGAGATCGTCAGATTGCCGAAGAATATATTCTTGATCGTAGCTGTGAAAACAAATATACAGTTATGATGATATTTAAAATTCGTCATTGCTATACCGCAATAAATATAGAAGATATATCAGAATTTTCACATGAAGAAGAAATATTAATTATGTGTGACAAGATATTTAAAATTGAAAAAATTACTAAACGAAATAATTTTTATATTGAAGTTGAATTACGTGACTCAAAATCAAACCAAAGAAGATAAACATGTATTCTTGTAATGTTTTTAAATATGTTAAAAATAATAAATTCAAATACATGATATAAATGAAAAATTTTCTTTAATTCATTCACTTATGTATTCATATATGAACTGATTAAATGAGAAGATAATGACAAAAAAGAAAGATGCAGAATTATGTAAGAATCGATCAAATTCTATTAAGAATTTTTCTTTTGATATTTAACCAAAGCTCAAACCACACAAATTTTCGTGTCAAAATAGTTCTTATTAATTCAATATGATTTGTCCTTTTTTGTCAAATTAACTGAAATTTGATAACCTTATTAAGTGTCGTAGGTTGAGACGTGATGAAAAGTGTTTGCCACAAAAAAGTCAAGGCTACCAAAAATAAAGATTTATCTTGCAATAATAAAACAAAAACAAAATACTTTGCATAAAGTATCTACATTATTAAGATCAGCTATTACCCAATGTCTTTATATTAAATAATAATCAAGCTAAAGCAACTAGTAATCATTTACTAATAATGTTGATTGTTTCTGAAGATGAAAATAATATTCAACAAGTAAAGGCTTTCAAAAAAAGAAACTTATATATTTCATTTTATAAATAAACAATAGCCGACAACGAGAATATCACTTCGACAATTACGAATAATTAGGAATTCGTTTGACGATGATCCACCACCATGTAATTTTGTTTTTTTCTTCTTTATTGATACCGTATTCTTATCTATGGATAAATTTTACATTTTCTAGATCCTGGTCTTGAAATAACAGCACATATTCGTCCTAAAACTACATATTTTCTTCCAAAACGTTCGTCGAATATTCATGATCAAATCATTTCAATATCAAATGATGAATATTCTTCAGAAAAGTTGAGTGCGAGAAATTCAAAATTTACGCACAATTTTTTCCCTACAATATTTATACATGGTTAGATAGAATTCATCGAGCTGAACAAGAGTATGTGAGTTTTATACTCTGAGAAAAACTTTCAAGGATGATACGTTGAAAATAAAAATATTATCTTTAAAATCCCTCAAAAACCGTCTGAGTTTTGAAGATGACTGAAATTCTCTGTATTAGTGGCCTTTGATAATTTTAATAATACTTTATTTTTTATTCTTCATAAAAAAAATGTAAAAACATAGTTATACTGCATTTACAAATTTAATTTTTCGTATAGAATAAAAGGAGCAGTCATCTTATTCCGCAACGTTCAACATTGCGGAATCAGTTCCATCCAATTCCGAGAACCCGATCATCATTCAGCATAAGAGACTCACTCCACATCGATCGAGTTCCACCCATTCCCAGAATACTCGGAACTAAGTTCAGACGAAATTACTCTCAATCCCCAGAAATTTCTTCCAATTCCGGAATCAGAAGAAATTTCCAGGAATTCCGGAATCAGAAGGAATTCCGGAATCAGAAGGAATTCCGGAATCAGAAGGAATTCCTTGTAATTCCGTACCGAAATTGCTTACTTATCCTAGGGATTAATCTTCAACCACACCATCATGCGTGAGGGCGAGAAGTAATTCCGGTGTGGAATTCCGGTAATTGAGTCGAGACGGAATTAGTTGGAATTCCGAAATCAGAAGGAATGCTGTTTCAACACAATTCTCGGAATTCCAGAAACTGACGGAACTCGATCGATATCGATTGGGCCTGTTCTGTAGAATCATAATCGACCTCCCGAAATTGGACTGGATTAGTTCCGGAGACGAAACTAATTCCGCAATGTTCAACATCGCGGAATAGGATGCATTCTCAGCTGGACTAGCTCTATCTAACCATGTACAAATATCCTAAGAAGACAATTAGCACTCACATTTTGAATTTCTTGTATTTTATTAAGAATCTCTTTCTGTTCTCTTTATCACTATTCTTCCTCTTTATCTCAGTAGTCAAGATGCTATTCAAGCACGACAATGGAAAGCATCAGATAATCAGTATCGTATTTGTTATACTGGTAATTTATCTGATGATTTTCTTCGAATACAACTTTCTTTAAAATCTCAAGTTACTAATCAAAAACAGTTCGATAGAACTTCTTTTACAACTGTCGAATCAGGTCTTAATTAGATTTTTTAGGTGTCGCCTACATTGAATGTTTATATTTAGATCAATATATTCCGTCAACATTCTATCATTTTAGCACAAAATCATCTACTAGTAAAATTTTTAAAAGATCAAAAATTCATGCACGAATGCTTCATAATATTCTTACAAAAATTGAACGAGGACAAACAAGAAAACGTACAAAAGAGAAGGTTTTCAATAACATGAAATTTTTCTTTTTGTTTTCGTTGTAGTACCAATGGTTCCTGAAGAACCGATTACTCAAAGTGATGGTTATTCCTATGAAAAAGATGATCTATGTATTAACCAAGAAGGCATCCCACTTCCAGCTGCACCATTTGTTACTAAATATGAATCGTTACAATTAGAAAGTAATGCAAATTTTATAATTCAACTAAAATGTATAAGGAAAAAGTACAAATTTAATAAAAAGAAATTCAATAAAGAAATTCCTTTAATTAGTTCGATGTTTTTCTACTTTTAAAAATTGTAAACTATTTAGAAATTATTCTATAGATCTAATAATACTTTTATTTTACTAAAGATATTGTATTTTCTTTTGTATTAACATAGAATATTATCAATTTTGGAACAAAAACGTCTAGCAAAAATGAACATGATTTATTGAACGACTCGGACTGAATTTGATTTTTATTTTTATTAGAATTATTATTTCATATCTGTATAATAGTTTATTTTAGAATCATCTTAAGTTGTCTTTTTTTAATTACCGATTTTATCTATAATAATTTAATATTCATTTTCATTTTGCTTTGTTAAATAAAACAAACATACTAACAGTAAAAAATAAATTCCATAAACTAATTTTCGCTACAAAAAGATGAATATCATTTATTCGATTACAGCAAGTAAAAATATGTACTTCTTTTAAATTTGAATATCCCTCTATCATTCAACTGAATAAACTTTTAAACAGATCTATTTGAACAATTAATATGTAATGTTATGAAAGTATTTATGAACAAAGGTAAATATTTGCAATCGTGCATAGAATTTATTGTAAATGTTTTTCGTCATGTTTCTTATCATCCTAATTATAAAACTCACATATCGTACATTTGATATATGAGGCATGTAGAAATTAAAGAGACTTACATAATTCATCTGATTCATCAATAAACTACTTTTAGAATTTTGGGTGATGTAAAATATATTTTTTCTACGATGATGCACGTGAAATAACCAGACATTGCTATTTATTCGTTTCATGTATTTGCTGTATATCTATTACAATCTAATGAATGTTATCATGTAAACAAAGTACGTTAAGAGAGAAGAAAGGTGCACATAAGAATATGACAATGAAACCAGTGAAAAGAGGAATGAACAATGATATTTCGAGCTTATCAAAATTATAAGACAGCTTCAATTTTTTTTCAAAAATATAAAAAGAATCGTGTCAGCTTTCTTTCAATCTTCCTCTCATCTATGTGCGTTTTCTTGTTCATAGACATGAAGTCTGACCATGCAAAACACGGTGTTGTACTTTTGAATAAGATTTTCACTGATAGCTTCATGTACTTCTTTCAAAGATATGCATTGCGTCTAAAATCAGTCGATCAATAGTACCACCAGAAAACCTTTATGACGAACAACGCGACCGTGCCTAATAGTAATTGAAGAAGTTTTTTCTCATATTTACGATACGATAGTATTTATTAAGCAATTGTTTTGCTTATTGCATATGAACAACAATATAAAGTTGATAGTATCACAAAAGTGTAGTTAATTAGGCCAAGTATAAATAGCAAACATTGATATATATTTATCGATTTTTATTAAAAAGATTTTGCACTACAATTTCACAGCCGGTATAACAAGAGCGCATGTGGTGCACATCTCTGACTCTTATCAATTTGCACTTAAATTATCCGATTCTACTTCATGAATAATAAAAATGTATTTTTCTTTTGATTCGATGAATTAGAATCGATGTCTGATGCTGGTAGGCGTCTGAATATTCTTTATATAAACAATAATACTATTTAGATATGCCTGGAAATTTCGCTTAAGTGCATTAAAGAGGATGAGAGAGAGAGAGTTTGTTGAATATCATCATACTTTAGAATTTATGTCAGATTTTGATTTAGAATTTTAACTAGCGTGAAACTAAACTGTTTTTCTGTAATATCGCAAGTGTGTTTGGAAATTTTTCATACAATTCATCTCTTTTATGAAAATATAAAGTGCTGATTTCGGATTCTTTTGAGACAAAAGAAAAGATCTAAATAGTATTGAATGGTCATCGATATGGTTCAGTATTTAATGAAAATAACATGAATGGATTCGGTTTCATAGAAACACATTGATATCGACAAGCGTTATCAAATCTTCTCAAATCATGTATTCTAGAACTTCCACTATTGTAATAATTTTCCAGTTGAGCAAAATAATTATAGATTTCAACAATAATAAAATGAGTTTCGTGAATAATCAATTGTGTCATTACTCATGAAAAGATAACAAAAAAGAATCGAAGCGCATGTTAAAATTCCGATTGTCGTCTATCTTACAAATATCTAATGAAAATAATAATTCTAAACTGAGGATTATTTTATATAATGAAATCTTTTAATTAAAATATACATATTCCTTAAATTTAATATACAGATACGACAAACTAAAAATTGAAAAATAATAGACTATTAATATCTGTCGGTTCTTCAGAAGTTACATCATTATTTAAAAATAGTTTTGCTATTTTGTTTAGATTTTGTCGCTTATTACTCTGTTTTAAATGCAAATCTCAACATTGTGTTCGTATAAAACTATCATTAGAATAGTATTCTATTTGAATAATGAGTACATTTCGAACAAATTAATTTAGTTGAAAGAAAATTCTTAGATAATTAGATATATTTATATATGTTTTTTACTGGTTGCTTAATATAATCCTCGTTCATGCTTGATTTATCTGACAGTATCCGGAAGTTTTCTTCATTATAGCGGCATGTAAAATGTTTTCTTTATTCATTTGTTCATCGCTTCATAATAATTTCCTACTTAACATCGATAGACAAAACTCAAACTATCATTATTCTCTTGTGCATAGCTATGTATTAGAACTGATACATACCTTATTCGTTTTCTAATATTGACCATCATCGGTAGTGCATTGCATACATAAATATAAGGTGCTGGAAAAATTTGAAATTTTAATAAATTTCTATTGTCAATTTATATCCGTGTCATTGAATGGACTACATCGAGTTACCTATGAAAGACTACTATTCCAATTTTTAAAAACAAATTCTTTTCCTAGAAATACTGGAAGAAAAACTAAATTCTAAATATCATGATTAGTATCGTCTATTATCACAGATATGTAAATTATTTTTTTCACTTTAAACAACATCATAAGGGTTATTTGCTGATTCTGCAGACAAAATTGATTAAAAAAAGACGTTATGTACATAACGTCTTTTTTAGTCAATTGTGTCTGTAAAATCAGCAAATAACCATTATGATGTAGTATAAAGTAAAAAAAAGATGTACATATTCGTGACAATAGACGACACTAATCATTATATTTTGACTTTAGTCTTTTTTTTTCAATATTTCTAGTAAAAACTTGTTTTTTGAAAAATCCTTAAAGTAATTTTTCATAGGTGACTCGATGTAGTCTATTCAATTATAGTAAATAAATTGAAAACAAAAATTTACGAAACTTTTGAATTTTCAGTACCTCATCATAACTCAAAAACTATTTCAATGCAATGCATGTACTTTTCACTGTCCTTTTTATAACCAAAACTAATATTTTCTATTCATAATTTTGTGTGCTCACAAGATCACTTTCAAGTTATGATCATGATTTAATCGTGTGAAATATCATTGCTTATAAAATTCGATTACATACTGCATGCATATCATTATTTTCAAGTACTTTTTCTATCGTCTATGCTCGTTTTGATCGATAGGTTTCAGCAAGTATTAAAGCTATATATTAAGACATTTTTTTATTATGCATCAGTATCAAATAAATTTTCAATAAATTGTTTTTGTCCTATTCGAATATATATGTTATAGATCTAATAATTTTTTGTTTCCTATTCTTTTTTCCTTTAATGCTATTCATTGTTATGCTAAGTTTTGGTTGTAGAACAATAAAAAAATAAGAACACAAACACATATATAAGTTTGTTCAAGAACATCACAAAATAAATGACAACATTGCTTAAGAAGGATAAAAAAAAGACTAAAAAATGCATACAATGCTTATAATACAAGTTATGTTCTTGAGACATAGTTCACTATATCAAAAACATATACAACATTGACACTCACTGACAATAAAAAAGACCATTAGAATTAATCCAGGAAATTTTTTTCTTTTTAGTTTCTATTAATTGTTTTTCGGCTTTGTGTATTTGTATTAACTGTGAGAATCTATCGTTTAGAAGTTGAACAATCCTTATGAAATATTCATCGATCAGAGCCCATTAGGATTAGTAGTATGGTCATAGTTCGGCAAAGTTCAATTTCAATAGCATATCATTGTAATTGAAATGATTTTTAAAATTATGAAGAATAATATTGAGAAATCTCTTTCATCAATTTGATTCTATGTAGTCTTCGTTTTATTAGAGTGAAGTAATAACAAATTTTTTTTTTTCTTATTCTCTAGTACTCAATCAATGAGCGTGTGATCAATTTGACATGTCTTCGTTTGAGTTAACAGACAACTGAATTCAATCTATAAAAATGAATTGAATTTTTATCTATGTTTTGTGTTCTATATATTGTTCTAATATTTTGTTTTGTTTTTATATATGCTCATCGATCATCTTACCAATAGAATGTTCTTCTATATCTGAGTAACAATAAAGTACTTATAGTTTGCATTAATGTTTTTATTCATTTCCTGCCGAAATGCATATCATCATAGAAACGACTATACGTCTATGGTTTTTTTTTCTTCTATGTTTTCAAATGATAATTGCAGGTATTCGTATGTCGTTCTAAAAGAAATTAGATCCTATTTTTTTTTGAACACTAATTGATCCGTTCGGAGACAACAATATATTCAAACACGATCAATAAATACAACGAAATTGAATGACGTAAATGAATCTGAGATATAAGTAATGTTAGATTGTTGTTCCAATCGATTTTTGGGAGATATTTCAGAAACATTAGAATGTTCTCACTAATTCCATTTTCTTAAAATGTATAAAAATCACGATCATCTTCGACTTTTTGCGTAAGTCCTATAAATATTGATCCAATATCTTTATGAAGTTCTTTATATGATTGACTCTAGTCACATTTTCGGTTCATTTTTTTTTCTTCATCAGTAATAGGATCGTGCAACATAGCAAACATAGAGAGAAATGCATTATTTTCTTTCTCCCTCTCTCTCTTTTTCTCTTTTTCTCAAAAATCCGATCGAAAAAAAGAGAGCGGCAAATTCACAATATATAAACCAAACTACACCATCAACTGACATTTGTTTCACCAAAAAGATCCAACAGTTTATTTTGACCTAGATTATATAATGATTGCTGCTACTATGTCGACAATATATGTTGCTTTAGTTATTGCTATTATATGCCAATTAGGCACAATGGGTGAAGAAGAAAAAGTAAGTATTCACTGAAGTTATTCTCATAAAATTGACCATTATGTTCAGATTCAATGAATCGAAAGAGAAACTTTTCCTCTACATTTTAAAGTACAGATAGGAAATGATGACCTCAGGCATTAGCGTCTATTTTAACATAATATCTAATCCGGTATGACAGTTTAATAAAAAAAAATTTTCAATGATTATACATCATTGGGATTTTACTTGAGTAATTTTTCTTAAATGGAAAAGATGACCTTGTATTTATTTCAGTTGGATCCTTTAACGAACATAAATAATACTGAATAAACTGTTGAAACCCTCAATTAAAAATGATCATCATTCAAGGATGTCTATCATTATTAATTTATGTATTTCTTTTTTGTAGAAACGCACACTTGATTCATTATCAGGCTCGGATTTCTTTAAAAAGGTACATTTTTTGAATATATTATGTCTATTATTATAATTTTTTTATTTTATTATCATTTAGAGTCTTGATAGTCTTGCGGGCAATGATTTTTTTAAACGTGAACAAGAAGTAAATTATAATTGAATGAATTTGTTTTGAATAATTGTTGTCTCATATGCATAGAAACGAACACTCGATTCTCTTTCCGGCTCTGATTTCTTCAAGAAAGTAAATATAGAAGATAATATATAGATAAATATATTTATTTAATGATATTTAGAGTCTTGATTCACTATCGGGCAATGACTTTTTCAAACGTGAAGAAGAAGTACTTGATTTTTCTTTTTGCTAAGTTAATATATATATATATATTGTATCATTTTCTGTTACAATAGAAACGCACTCTAGATTCTTTATCGGGTTCAGATTTTTTCAAGAAAGTATGTTTTATTTTATTATTGTTTATCATTAATTTAAAATGATTTCTTTTTTGTTTGTAGAGTTTAGACTCATTATCTGGCAATGATTTCTTTAAGAAGGTATTCATTTAAATTAAATGAAATTCAAAAATTTTTTTTTTTCGTATTTTTTAAGAGTTTGGATTCATTAAGCGGAAACGATTTCTTCAAAAAAGTATTTATAATAGATTTAATGTTTCTTTTGTCATTTTATTTTTGTTCCTATTTATAGAGTTTGGACTCATTAAGTGGAAATGATTTTTTCAAAAAGGTATTTTTCATATTATTATAGAAATTAAAAGATTTTCTTTTCTTTTTTTTTTGATACAAATAGAGTTTGGATTCATTAGCAGGCAATGATTTTTTTAAACGTAATATCAGATCATGGCGGCCCAATGCCCATTCAGGACGACATAGTCATCAGCCATATAGAGGATATGGCCGATTATTTGCTGTAAATAACGAAGATAAATAAAATGAAAACCCTGAATGCAGCAACGAAGAACATTCAAACATGTTCTGTCAATAATTTGTGAAAATTTGAAACAAATTTTTTTGTTCTTGAGTTTTCGGTTTTTACTGATCGAATTCAATAAAAGAAAACAGAATATGATTAATAGAATATGTCCAAACATAAATAATATGTTGGTGTTTTATTGTTCAACGATGTACTTCCAGCATTAAATGAAATTCATACTACGGAAGATTAAATATAAGCGGATCTATGTCATATTGTCAATTGTATTTTAATATTATAAGTACTTAAATATGTCAAATACAATGAAATAGAAACATCTGTTTTATGTCTTTGATATGTCAAACAAATAGTGTTGATAAGTAATTTGATTAGGCATAATGAACTTGAGTACTATTATTTCTATTTCAATATTTGAACGGTATATTTCTTATTGTGCACATATATTGATATGATTTTGTTTGTTTTCATCAAACAGAAGTTTCTAATTGGAATCAAAATTTTCCATGTATAGAGGAAAATAAGCTTGTTAGCGCAGCCCTTTGGGGTTAGAATGTGGAACTCACATATCCTCTCTAGTCTTATTAAACTAATACAAAATACATAACTTGAAAAATCTCTCGTAGATTATAGTTGTTTTTCAGGATAATCTATCATCAGAGTAAGCACTTCTCTTATTTCTGCATTCTGAACAGAAATTTTTTTTCTATAGTGCTCTAACTGTTAGTTCGCATTGTTGCTACTCGTTCATTATTTTTCAATTTGTTGTTTTTAATTTTACATTCTTATTATTATAATCATTGACTTAATTGGCAAATAAGTGTGTTTTACATATTCAAGATATCTACAACAGGTCTTACGAACTATTATATAATGCTCAACTCACAAACAATCATATTCATTATTTTTCAAACATTCTAACTTGATCGATTTTTCAAAATAAACTCTAGAAAACTTGACACCTATCTTTCTCAATTTCTAAAGTCTGTAAAGGCAGACCCTACTTACCAAATGTCTGTAATGGAGGGGTAGAGAAAGGGAGACCGCGAAACCGCTACTTAAAACTTACACTTACTGTATTCTTCAAAAATATATGTGTGTTCCATAGAACTGAAACATATTTTTATACCTACTTTTTTTCTTATCACAACTGAACAAATAAAAGCATCCTTTGTCGTCTGTCGCCAGTTCCAATTTTGTTATCATATATATAGTAAGTCATCAAAATTTGAAATTATGCCAATTGAGAAATAACATGAATAATTATTTTGTTTATTGAATCAAAATATAGTAAAATCATAGGAATTTTTCGAAAAACAAATACGAAAACCATACCAAAACTACTGATTTTGGCAGATAATACAACGTGAAATCGATGCAATAAAGTCTTTGGTTCAGTGAACATATACGGTAGTAGCTATGCTTATCGATACATCATTACTCTTTTTTTTAGAAACATTTGCGGAAAGTTTTTTCGAATTATCGTTATTTTTAAAAAAATTATCTTCCCGGTTATAGACATATTAATGAAATGATTGAACTCCATTTGATTAACTAAATTGATCAATTAGATAAGAACATGAAAAGTACATCGTATTGTACTTGGAAGATGAAACGAGTAGAAACTAATGGTGACATATTTCGATGCGAGTGTAAGAAAGTCATATTTATGAAAATGGATGGCTGAATGTTATAATAATGACTTCTGATCTTCTGCGCATTAGCTAATATTCTTGGTCTTTTCATTGAATTGATAAGTGGTTTCAGAGTAATTTTAGTATAAAATTGATGACTGTAAGTCTGTTCTCTTTTTTAAGAATATTGAATGAGTACTGTAACAAAAGATACGAGACATCATTATGAGACTAACTTACTCAATTAAAACGTAAATGATGAAGACTCATTATTTGGAATTCATCTGATTCGCAGAATCTATGTTCATCTATCTGTGACTAATCTAGCAGTTAATGCCTTTTACTAGTCAATGGATTTACTACCTTTTTTTAGTCGATCAAGTCTGATAGATTTCGATTGATCAAAACAATACCTAACTGTTATTATGAGTATCCTAACCAAAGTCATGATTTTTGTCAGTCAAATATGATTTGACAAATACTTGGAACAAATATGTTGAAACAAAGTGATTGTGCGTAGTTAAAGACAACTGCTAGCTTAAATACTTTATTGAGCGAAAGCTTGATTAACTTTATTCTATGAGATTTCATGTACAAAAGCCAATACTTTGAGTGTATGGCTTACGTACTCATCGTACAAATAATTAATAAATGAAGTTATTTTTATCTTGAGTATAAAAAGCAAAAGTTTTTGCTATGTACATCAGTAGAGTCCATCATAAAATATCATATTTTTATTGTTAAAGATTTAATGGTTTCCTCGCTTCGTCTAGATGGTAATTATGTGAAATTTTACTAATAAATGTTCCAAGTCCAACAGGTATTGGTTGAATATGTTCAAAAAAGAAAGCATTAATTTGTGCACCTAATATAAGTATAATAGCTGCATAAAAAAGAAACAAAAGTAAAATAACTGCAATACCAATTTGACCTGTATAACTTCCCATAGATTTTCTTACATAAAGTGGAAAAAGTATCATAAATAATTGTAAAGCGCCAGCAGCAGCAATTGATCCACACCATGTATGTTTGAATGTCATTTTTTTATTTGGTATAATTAGATAAATAATTTCAAATAAAAGAAATGAAAAAAGTAAACTTATTAAAATGCCAGCAATATATACTCCAAAACGTCCACCAGCATTTGGAATCGCACCAAGAAGTATTGATGGAGTTGATGATGCAGCTATCATTAATGGTATAAGTATAAGAAAAAGAAAAAGCATACCAATAGCTAATAAATGTTTTTTAATAAATTTTCGTTCTTCAACACGATATATTATTGTTAAACATCGATCAATAGCAATAAATAATCTTGAGCTACCAAGAATAGCAAATAATATACCAAATGATAATACAAGTCCAGCATCTTGATATAATTTTCTGAATGCCATATTCATTATTTCTCGTACACCTTCATTAGCTTTTGGAGGAAATGCAGCAACAATTTTATTTTTTATACGATTTTGTAAATCAGGATGATTACCAAGAACAAGACCAAGTATACCAAATAATGTTATAGCCATTGGTAATAATGCCACTAATATATTAAATGCTAACATACCAGCAAAAGCGAATGACCAATCATGTTTACATTTTTGAATAAATAAACGAAAAGGTGTTGTTTCTTTTTTAGCATATTGAAATAGACGTGTATTAGTAACTGTTGACTCCATTCTCAATATAACGAACTGTTTTTTAGCACTATCGTTTGTGTTATATTTTCTCTTTCTATTCTTGTATAATGACGTAAGCAATACTCATCTCATTTTTCTCGTTTTTCTCTTTCTATTATTTTTCTATCCTTGGCAAGATACTATTAATAACTAGTAAAAATGTCGTTTTATACGCATTTAGTCTTATGATTGTAACACTGTTGTTATTGTAGTCAATTGAGTATTGCGAAGAACGTTTGTTGATGAAATTTTTTCGATGATCATTAATATTAATTTGTTGTTTTCTAAACAAGATAAGCATCGACTATATTTTGATAGTCAAAGCTTATAAAAAATTCTAATGATGCAATTGATTTTATCGTGCAAGATATTTGTTATTACTCTGGTCTTCGTTGTGCGAAAAATATTCAACATGAGAACGTACTGTAAACGTGACCAGTATAATCAGTAAAGTCAAAGAGTTAAAGAATAACATACATTGAGAATTGATCTTTTTTGCACTATTTATAGACGTTATCTCGAGAGAAGCAAGCGCTACTAATACATACATTGATCATTCTTGTAGATCTTTTATATGCTCGATGACTTCACTGTTGCAATCCTAATGCGAACTAGATAATTAAGAATGCTTAAACATTAATATTTCTCTAATGTTTATTTAAATGAATGTCATAATTTAATTTCACTAGTTACAATAAACTAAATGAATAGAATTCTAAAGTATAACTGCTTTTTATTTATGATCGTACTAGAATTGATATATAAGATGGTGAAAAAAATTGTAACAATAATGTATTTTTTTATTTTTTTTCTATAGTGTTAAACATCTAGCTTAAATCCAACGATTGATTTTATTAACCAATGGAATTTTCTATCTAATGCATTCTATAGCAAGATTTCATATAGTAGGTTTTCTAAAAAAACGTGATACAATAGTTTTCAAGTTCTGAAAGACTATTCTTTAATTTTTAACAATATTATTTCCAAGACCACAAAATGAGGAATCACTACATTTTGTGTGACTTTTCCTTGAAAAGTTAAAAGTATCACAAAAGTCGAAATTTATCAAAAAATTATTCAAAGAACACTCTTTTCGTTTCTTGTGATACTTTCAATTTTTTAAACGGAAGACTGTAGAAAATGTGGCGACTGCAAATTTTGTTTCCTTCTAAATGACATTGTGAAAAAAATAGTTTCTCAAACTTCAAAACTATTGTGTTCATTTTTTTTGAAAACTCTGTTATCATAATTCATTTGTAGAATAGCCATTAAAAAGAAAACTTCATTGACTATTAATATCACAATTTGGACTAAGCTAAATGCTTAACACTATAGAAAAAATAATCAAAAGTACGTTATTTTTCAACTTTTCTCTACTATCTTCATTATCGCTGATATATTCTACTAGAAAAAAAGCACACTAATAATCAAAATATAATCAAAGATTTTGTGTGTATATGATATCAAAAATAATTTAAATAAATTAGTTAAATTGTTGTTTTTTTAGAGACAATATTGTATTCATTTTCTTTTTGTGTCATTTTATTAAAAGACTTCAATTTCTACATATATTTTAAAAAAAGATAAAATTAATAGACATATAAAAACTAGTTAATATTTAATATAATTGAATTTATTTAGCAACTGAAAAATCAAAAAGAAAATAGTATTTTTTTTGATAGATTAAATC